GCTGGAGAAAATAAAAATTGAATTTTTAAAAAAAGAAATCGCCCTAAACGTAAAACTCGAATTAATGATTAAAATCGATTAATCGCCCAGCCCTACCTGGTAGGATAAAAGACTATCAATTAATTTTTTTCCTTTACGTCCAACGGACAATATTGGACTATCGTGGACTATTTTGGTTTCTTCTCTTCTCTCCCTTTGAATGGGAGCACGGACTCTAACCCAGAGCGTGTGAATCGTGAGAACAGTATCGTTATCAGCGAGGTTGTGGCTGTCAGTATTGTTATATTGTTATTCTGTACAATTTTGTGTTATTTACTTTCTCCTTTTAATACAATACCAAACTCAAAACTCAATCAGTTGTTTTGTATCACTCACTCTACACCTCACAACCCAGGCTCCTTCCCGAACCAGTCTTTTGAATAGTACTCAGAGTTGAATCGCAGTCACATCTGGCCGTCAGTTGGTGTATGTGACGTCAGTTGGTGTGTGTGTGACGTCAGTTGGTGTATGTGACGTCAGTTGGTGTGTGCGACGTCAGTTGGTGTGCGACGTCAGTTGGTGTGTGACGTCAGTTGGTGTGTGTGTGACGTCAGTTGGTGTGTGTGTGACGTCAGTTGGTGTGTGACGTCAGTTGGTGTGTGTGTGACGTCAGTTGGTGTGTGTGTGACGTCAGTTGGTGTGTGTGTGACGTCAGTTGGTGTGTGTGTGACGTCAGTTGGTGTGTGTGTGACGTCAGTTGGTGTGTGTGACGTCAGTTGGTGTGTGTGACGTCAGTTGGTGTGTGTGACGTCAGTTGGTGTGTGTGACGTCAGTTGGTGTGTGTGACGTCAGTTGGTGTGTGTGTGACGTCAGTCGGTGTGTGCGACGTCAGTCGGTGTGTGACGTCAGTTGGTGTGTGTGTGACGTCAGTTGGTGTGTGTGTGACGTCAGTTGGTGTGTGTGACGTCAGTTGGTGTGTGTGACGTCAGTTGGTGTGTGTGTGACGTCAGTTGGTGTGTGTGTGACGTCAGTTGGTATGTGTGACGTCAGTTGGTATGTGTGACGTCAGTTGGTATGTGTGTGACGTCAGTTGGTGTGTGTGTGACGTCAGTTGGTGTGTGCAACGTCAGTTGGTGTGTGCGACGTCAGTTGGTGTGTGCGACGTCAGTTGGTGTGTGCGACGTCAGTTGGTGTGTGCGACGTCAGTTGGTGTGTGCGACGTCAGTTGGTGTGTGCGACGTCAGTTGGTGTGTGCGACGTCAGTTGGTGTGTGCGACGTCAATTGGTGTGTGTGACGTCAGTTGGTGTGTGACGTCAGTTGGTGTGTGTGACGTCAGTTGGTGTGTGACGTCAGTTGGTGTGTGTGTGACGTCAGTTGGTGTGTGTGTGACGTCAGTTGGTGTGTGACGTCAGTTGGTGTGTGTGACGTCAGTTGGTGTGTGTGACGTCAGTTGGTGTGTGACGTCAGTTGGTGTGTGTGTGACGTCAGTTGGTGTGTGTGACGTCAGTTGGTGTGTGTGTGACGTCAGTTGGTGTGTGTGACGTCAGTTGGTGTGTGTGACGTCAGTTGGTGTGTGTGTGACGTCAGTTGGTGTGTGCGACGTCAGTTGGTGTGTGTGACGTCAGTTGGTGTGTGACGTCAGTTGGTGTGTGACGTCAGTGTGCGTTGGTGTGTGACGTCAGTTGGTGTGTGACGTCAGTTGGTGTGTGACGTCAGTTGGTGTGTGACGTCAGTTGGTGTGTGACGTCAGTTGGTGTGTGACGTCAGTTGGTGTGTGACGTCAGTTGGTGTGTGACGTCAGTTGGTGTGTGTGTGACGTCAGTTGGTGTGTGTGACGTCAGTTGGTGTGTGTGACGTCAGTTGGTGTGTGTGACGTCAGTTGGTGTGTGTGACGTCAGTTGGTGTGTGTGACGTCAGTTGGTGTGTGTGACGTCAGTTGGTGTGTGTGTGACGTCAGTTGGTGTGTGTGTGACGTCAGTTGGTGTGTGTGTGACGTCAGTTGGTGTGTGTGTGACGTCAGTTGGTGTGTGCGACGTCAGTTGGTGTGTGTGTGACGTCAGTTGGTGTGTGCGACGTCAATTGGTGTGTGTGACGTCAGTTGGTGTGTGACGTCAGTTGGTGTGTGTGACGTCAGTTGGTGTGTGTGACGTCAGTTGGTGTGTGTGACGTCAGTTGGTGTGTGACGTCAGTTGGTGTGTGTGTGACGTCAGTTGGTGTGTGTGTGACGTCAGTTGGTGTGTGTGTGACGTCAGTTGGTGTGTGTGACGTCAGTTGGTGTGTGTGACGTCAGTTGGTGTGTGTGTGACGTCAGTTGGTGTGTGCGACGTCAGTTGGTGTGTGTGACGTCAGTTGGTGTGTGACGTCAGTTGGTGTGTGACGTCAGTTGGTGTGTGACGTCAGTTGGTGTGTGACGTCAGTTGGTGTGTGACGTCAGTTGGTGTGTGACGTCAGTTGGTGTGTGACGTCAGTTGGTGTGTGACGTCAGTTGGTGTGTGTGTGACGTCAGTTGGTGTGTGTGACGTCAGTTGGTGTGTGTGACGTCAGTTGGTGTGTGTGACGTCAGTTGGTGTGTGTGACGTCAGTTGGTGTGTGTGACGTCAGTTGGTGTGTGTGACGTCAGTTGGTGTGTGTGACGTCAGTTGGTGTGTGTGACGTCAGTTGGTGTGTGTGACATCAGTTGGTGTGTGTGTGACGTCAGTTGGTGTGTGTGTGACGTCAGTTGGTGTGTGTGTGACGTCAGTTGGTGTGTGTGACGTGCGTCTGTCTGCGTCAGTGATATAAACCCATCCAACTCTCACACGCGCCCCAGCAGCAGGTTGGAATATTCTGGCAACATCTAGTGGATTGAAATTAAATTAAATGAGTCGACAGCCACTGCTGCTGAGATAAATCAGTGTCTTAGGTTCAGGTGTGTAGCTACAATTATCTTAGTGTGTAAACAAAGGAATGAGACTTTCTGGTGTGTAAACTATTGCTTTAAGCAGCAATGACAACTGTCTGTTTTTTGTGTGACAAGTGAGCTGTCAATCACAGCCCAGACCACGCCCAACTCTAAGCCCCCCTTCTTGTCCCCTTGTCAACCAGGCAACGCCCTTTTAAGATTTTTTTTTTAAATGTTCATGTGGGCGGAGTCAGGATGGGCACAGGTGTTTAGTCGCTCTTTAAAATGGTCTCCTGCTGGGGCTCTGAGGAGCACAGGGACTGGCCTCCTGCTGGGACTCTGAGGAGCACAGGGACTGGCCTCCTGCTGGGACTCTGAGGAGCACAGGGACTGGCCTCCTGCTGGGACTCTGAGGAGCACAGGGACTGGCCTCCTCCTGGGACTCTGAGGAGCACAGGGACTGGCCTCCTCCTGGGACTCTGAGGAGCACAGGGACTGGCCTAACTGGTGGAGTCAGGACTAAACTTAATGAGGCAGCGTTTCATATTAATGCAGCAGTCTTCTTGAAAATGTGAGACAGGCTTCTACTCTGTCCAGGTTAGAAAAGGCCCATGTAATGCTTTGTGATTATTTATGATTTTAATGTCTTGTGTATTAAGTACTTTGAGTTGAACTGTGCAAAACAAATAAGCTTACCTTTGCTTTCAAATCTCATAACAGTGTATAATGAATCAGTGTATAATAATTACAAACACATTCATGTGAAATAAATTGCCACAAACTTCCACATTCTCGGTTCTGAGATGTAGCAGCTTTTAAGATTTGGAGCCACCGCGACAGGCTCAGATCTAAGAGGAACACTTAATAATTTAGCGCGGGCAAAGTGTTAGTAGGTCTTCTAAAAATACTGCTAAAATGTGGTGTGGATTTGAAAAACATAACTGTGATATACCAAACATATTTACCACTACCCCCAGAGTTTGGCAAAGGAGTCTGTGTACGCCCACGGTTAGCTAAACTGCTATAGACCTACACGTTCAGAAGTTTTGTAACCTGGAGATTTGAAGTCACATGTTTAAATGATGATGACAGGGAGAAAAAAACAAAAAAAACACAGAAATTATTCACGAGAAATAACGAGACCAGGCTTTAAATCCTCTTGAATGCTAAAGCTAACACGCTAACAGCTCTTTCACAGGATGTAAAAGGGCTGGAATTGAATAAAATTGAGAACAAATATCTCTATAATAATTACTAAAAGGTTTTTCTAGTTGCATATAGCATCACGCACAGAAAAATTGGGTTTTTTAACAGTGTATTTGCTTATACAAGATACGGATCACGTTATTTAATAGTTTTATATAATGAAAAAACGTGATCTGTATCTTGAACAAACATGAAATGATCTTGAAACAATGTGAAATGATCTTGAAATAACGTGATACCAGCGATAAAATAACACAAGTGAACCCAAAACGCTTTCGTAGAAAACCATACTACAGGTACTAATCAAAATAAACGATTAAGGCCCTGTCCACACGAAGTCAAGCTCAGGCCTAAACGCAAAAATACTTTATCAATCCAGTGTGTCGTCCATACGAGGCCGGCGTTTTGGGGGGGTGTAAACGAACATTTTTGAAAGTAGGTCCCAGAGTGGAAAGATTTCAAAACTCCGTATATGCCGCTCCGTGGTTACTGCCTCTCCGCAATGTATCTGAGACGCGTCATCGCCCCGCCTCTTGTTAAAGCACGCATGCGCCGCACTCAGAAAATAATGACAACAACAATGTAGCTTGTTGGTTTTGTAATCCAGTGCAACCCGAAGCAACAGTTCAACCTCATCGTCCGTCCATACTAATGTAGTACCAGCTCGCCCACTCGCCATGTTGTCTGTTTACTAAATTCTGCGCATGCCCAGTTCCCGTCACGGAAGTTTGGGCTTGATCCCGTCATTGCGTCACAGCGCCACCAACAGGTCTGGCATAGTTTCACAGTGTTTTCAGGCGTATTGACTACATTCATATGGACGCACACATTTACTGAGCTAACTCCGTGTTTACAGAAAACGTTTCTGAAATTATAAGCGTTTTGTCTTCGTGTGGATATAGCCCTAATCTGCTGTTTTGACTTTCCCGGTACCTTGCGTGCTGTCGTCGGACTTGTGGGTGGAGGTCCGCTCGGTCGTGCTGTTGTGGGTGGGGGTGTCCCGGGTCTCCTGAGGGGCCTTGAAGTAGCGGCCCTCGTTGAAGGCCTGCGGCAGGTTGGCGGTGTGGACCTGCCTGAGCTCCTCGTAGTCGTTCAAGGCGGCACTCAGGTCCCAGTTTTTCCCTGCGACAAAAATCAAAACCAGGACTCAGCTCTGAGTGTGTAAGATCTGCATCGCCTAAAATCCACTTATTTTAAACAATTTGAATGTTTTACAGCGAACTTGTTCTTATTCAAGCTGTTTTGCTGCATCTACTTCTTTCTAAACCTGCAAGAACATATATTATTAAGTGGATTCTATATTATACTAAATATAGTTTCATTTGAATATGGAGTTACACTGCAAAAACTGATGAAAAATAAGTCAAAAATTACTCAAATTTGGCAAAATGTGTCTTAATTTGAGCACATTCTGACTGAGCCCTAAAACAAGATTTGCCAATGAGACAAGGATAATTATCTTGATTTAAAAAGATGCAGAAATGTTTCACTTGGAATGAGAAAATAAAGCAACACTAAATGACTTTGGCCCATTGGAAAATCTTGTTTTAACACAGACAGAATGTGCTCAAACTAAGATAAAACCAGTCAATTCATATATTATCATTTTTCCAGTGTCTTCTTCTCTTCTCATTGATACTGTTCTGTGATGCAACACTGGAAATCTTAATCTTAATCTTTATTATATCACTACTTCACTTGGACCTGAACCGCGGATCAAAGCCACTAACATCGCGTCCACTTCAACGATACATGGGTAAAATGTCAACAACCTATTTTTTTCAAACTGTTGTGATTTAGAGCGACACAAAAGTAAATTAAATTGAAAAAAGTAAGTTAAAGTTAGCAACAAGTCTGAGTTGGTTTCACTTGTCATCGCAAGTTGTTAGTAACTACTGGAGTCCCGTTGCTAAGCTAGCTACTTGTAAAAGCTAATTATATTGTTCTGATACAAACGGAACAATCATGAACCGCAGCTTTCCGCTCTCACAACGATGTTTATGAACGCTACACAAACGCACAAACGTCTGAATGGAGCAGTGTGCGTCTGTGCGAGTGAAGGTTCCGGTAAATGGGCGGTTAATGCGTCTGGAGTTGGACACTTGAGGAAAGAGCACTTCCCTTCACTTTGATAATGGAACAGGTTTCCGCACACACACACACACACATTCTGCTATTGTACCACTTTAGAGGACATGTGTGTGTGTGTGTGTGTGTGTGTGTGTGTGTGTGGGTGTCTGGTTATTTATGAATCATTTGTTGTTGTAAAGTATTTTCTTCCTGCTCAATTTGGCATTTGCTTTGTATCTGAAGAGTGTGTGTTTGTGTCTGCGTGTGTGCGTGTGTGTGAGAATGTGTATGTGTGCGCACTCTTGTTTTTGTGTGTGTGTGAGTATGGGTGTGTGGTGTAGTATTTGTGTGTGCGAGCTCGAGTGTATGTGTGTTTGTGTGTAAGGGTGTGCCAGCATACTGTGTGTGTATGTGTTTGTGTGTGCGCTTGCGTGAGTGTGTGTGTATTAGTGTGTGTGCGCTTGAGTGTGTGTGTTTGTGTGTGTGTGTATTAGTGTGTGTGCGCTTGAGTGAGTGTGTGTGTGTTTGTGTGTGAGTGTGTGTGTGTGTGTGTGTATGTGTGTGTATTGGTATGTGGGCACTTGAGTGTGTTTGTGTGTGAGGGTGTGCCAGCATACTGTGTGTGTGTGTGTGTTTGTGTGTGAGCTTGAGTGTGTGTGTGTGTGTGTGTATTGGTGTGTGGGTGCTTGAGTGAGTGTATGTGTGTTTGTGTGTGAGGGTGTGCCAGCATACTGTGTGTATGTGTTTGTGTGTGCGCTTGCGTGAGTGTGTGTGTGTATTAGTGTGTGTGTGCGCTTGAGTGTGTGTGTGCGCTTGAGTGAGTGTGTGTGTGTTTGTGTGCGCTTGAGTGAGTGTGTGTGTGTGTTTGTGTGTGTATTGGTATGTGGGCACTTGAGTGTGTTTGTGTGTAAGGGTGTGCCAGCATACTGTGTGTGCGTGTGTGTTTGTGTGTGAGCTTGTGTGAGTGTGTGTGTGTGTGTGTATTGGTGTGTGTGTGAGGGTGTGCCAGCATACTGTGTGTGTGTGTGTGTGTGTGTGTATTGGTGTGTGTGTGAGGGTGTGCCAGCATACTGTGTGTGTGTGTGTGTGTGTGAGCTTGAGTGAGTGTGTGTGTGTGTGTGTATTGGTGTGTGTATGAGGGTGTGCCAGCATACTGTGTGTGTGTGTTTGTGTGTGAGCTTGTGTGAGTGTGTGTGTGTGTGTGTATTGGTGTGTGTATGAGGGAATGCCAGCATACTGTGTGTGTGTGTGTGTGTTTGTGTGTGAGCTTGAGTGAGTGTGTGTGTGTGTGTGTATTGGTGTGTGTGTGAGGGTGTGCCAGCATACTGTGTGTGTGTGTGCGTCATACCCTCCAGCAGGTCTCTGGCCAGACCTGGCTCTGCCCCTGTGGACCGGACGAAGTCTGACAGGACCGCGTCCATGTCCAGGGTCATGTGGTCATGAGTCATGTGACCATGAGTCATGTGACCATGTGTCATGTGACCATGTGTGAGCGCTGGCCAGGGCGCAGCGGAGGCCTTGGTGGATGCCAGCCTTCACGTTTTCATCTGTGGACGAAGGAAAACTTCTGTTAGAGAAAACATTGTTGTCGCAATAGTTTATAAAAATCTCCTTTCGTTTATTTTGGAAATGTTTTCTTTTTTAGACAAAGACGCTTTGCAAGCTGCCCTGGGGCACACTGGAAGAAGCGAGGCAACCAGTAGGTGCCATCTGACCACCACCAAGCATTCACTCCAGACTCCTTCTAATGTGGAGGGAAGTGTCTTGCCTAAGGACCCCACAATAGTTTCTCACTTTACAGCCGCAGCTGCCCCACTGTGGCACCTGCTGTTCCCAGAGGTCTCCCATCACAGCACTAACCAGGCCCGTTTAAAAATCTCAATTTGGCCTAATCTGACCTTATACTGAAATATTAGCCTTAATCATTGGGATTTATAATACACAATATAGTGTGTGTGTGTGTGTGTGTGTGTGTGTGTGTGTGTGTGGAGCAAATTTGAGGACTCACTCAAGAGACTTATCCTCTAAACAAATAAATAACCTTTATTTGACTGTTTACTGTAACAGCTTCTCACAGTTTACAGTGTTATAAAAATGACCAAAACAACAGTGAATTGTGTGACATCACAATCGCTGCTCTGTGTCAGGAATGAATGAGTTTCTTCATCAGTTTCTTTCCACTGGAGCTCGAGTTCGAGACGCCGCTGCTCAGAGAAAAACTACTCCCACAGGAGCACCAGCACCGGTCACTGTGAGGGTGGAGCGACAGAAGCACTGGTCACTGTGAGGGTGGAGCGACAGAAGCACCGGTCACTGTGAGGGTGGAGTGACAGAAGCACCGCTCACTGTGAGGGTGGAGCGACAGAAGCACCGCTCACTGTGAGGGTGGAGCGACAGAAGCACCGCTCACTGTGAGGGTGGAGCGACAGAAGCACCGCTCACTGTGAGGGTGGAGCGACAGAAGCACTGGTCACTGTGAGGGTGGAGCGACAGAAGCACCGGTCACTGTGAGGGTGGAGTGACAGAAGCACCGCTCACTGTGAGGGTGGAGCGACAGAAGCACCGCTCACTGTGAGGGTGGAGCGACAGAAGCACCGCTCACTGTGAGGGTGGAGCGACAGAAGCACTGGTCACTGTGAGGGTGGAGCGACAGAAGCACCGGTCACTGTGAGGGTGGAGTGACAGAAGCACCGCTCACTGTGAGGGTGGAGTGACAGAAGCACCGGTCACTGTGAGGGTGGAGCGACAGAAGCACCGCTCACTGTGAGGGTGGAGCGACAGAAGCACCGGTCACTGTGAGGGTGGGGCGACAGAAGCACCGCTCACTGTGAAGGTGGAGCTACAGAAGCACCGGTCACTGTGAGGGTGGAGTGACAGAAGCACCGCTCACTGTGAGGGTGGAGCGACAGAAGCACCGGTCACTGTGAGGGTGGAGTGACAGAAGCACCGCTCACTGTGAGGGTGGAGCGACAGAAGCACCGCTCACTGTGAGGGTGGAGCGACAGAAGCACCGGTCACTGTGAGGGTGGAGCGACAGAAGCACCGGTCACTGTGAGGGTGGAGCGACAGAAGCACCGGTCACTGTGAGGGTGGAGCGACAGAAGCACCGGTCACTGTGAGGGTGGAGCGACAGAAGCACCGGTCACTGTGAGGGTGGAGCGACAGAAGCACCGGTCACTGTGAGGGTGGAGTGACAGAAGCACCGGTCACTGTGAGGGTGGAGCGACAGAAGCACTGTGAGGGTGGAGCGACAGAAGCACCGGTCACTGTGAGGGTGGAGTGACAGAAGCACCGGTCACTGTGAGGGTGGAGAGACAGAAGCACCGCTCACTGTGAGGGTGGTGCTACAGAAGCACCGCTCACTGTGAGGGTGGTGCTACAGAAGCACCGCTCACTGTGAGGGTGGAGCGACAGAAGCACCGCTCACTGTGAGGGTGGAGCGACAGAAGCACTGGTCACTGTGAGGGTGGAGCGACAGAAGCACCGGTCACTGTGAGGGTGGGGCGACAGAAGCACCGCTCACTGTGAGGGTGGTGCTACAGAACCACCGGTCACTGTGAGGGTGGAGCGACAGAAGCACCGCTCACTGTGAGGGTGGTGCTACAGAAGCACCGCTCACTGTGAGGGTGGAGCTACAGAAGCACCGCTCACTGTGAGGGTGGAGCGACAGAAGCACCGGTCACTGTGAGGGTGGAGCGACAGAAGCACCGGTCACTGTGAGGGTGGAGCGACAGAAGCACCGCTCACTGTGAGGGTGGTGCTACAGAAGCACCGCTCACTGTGAGGGTGGTGCTACAGAAGCACCGCTCACTGTGAGGGTGGAGCGACAGAAGCACCGGTCACTGTGAGGGTGGAGCGACAGAAGCACCGGTCACTGTGAGGGTGGAGGACAGAAGCACCGGTCACTGTGAGGGTGGAGCGACAGAAGCACCGGTCACTGTGAGGGTGGAGCGACAGAAGCACCGGTCACTGTGAGGGTGGAGCGACAGAAGCACCGGTCACTGTGAGGGTGGAGTGACAGAAGCACCGGTCACTGTGAGGGTGGAGTGACAGAAGCACTGGTCACTGTGAGGGTGGAGCGACAGAAGCACCGGTCACTGTGAGGGTGGAGCGACAGAAGCACCGGTCACTGTGAGGGTGGAGCGACAGAAGCACCGGTCACTGTGAGGGTGGAGCGACAGAAGCACCGGTCACTGTGAGGGTGGAGCGACAGAAGCACCGGTCACTGCGAGGGTGGAGCGACAGAAGCACCGGTCACTGTGAGGGTGGAGTGACAGAAGCACCGGTCACTGTGAGGGTGGAGTGACAGAAGCACCGGTCACTGTGAGGGTGGAGCGACAGAAGCACTGTGAGGGTGGAGCGACAGAAGCACCGGTCACTGTGAGGGTGGAGCGACAGAAGCTATGTGTCTATATTGGTGGAGCTGGAGTTGGCTGGATGACACTTAATCTCATTGGCTCCTTTCTGTTAGCAGAGGGCCACAGAAAAGGCCACAGAGGGCCGCAGTTGACCCGCGGGCCTCGGTTTGGTCGCCCCTGTTGTAGACAAACCAACAATCCCAAACAAAGGGCAGTACTTTTCTACTTTTTTGAATCGATGCATAATGTTTGGTTCCACTTCCTGCGGTAGATTAGTAGTAGTTGCTTTTTCTATTCTAAGATATATTTATAATTAAGATTTGTGAAAGTGCAGAGGACGTGAAGCCTGAGGTTTCTGAGAGACAGAAGTTTAACCTGCTGTTATTTTGTCCTTCTGCCAACATTACACTGTGCTCTGTCCACCTGCCACACGCCCAGGAACAAAACCTCACATTTAAAAACTTATTTGCAGAGGAACAAGAGAAACACGAGAAGCAGGTTAGAAGAATGTCATGGTTTTGTTGCACTTCTCTCTTAGACTTGGAAGAAATCTTTATTTTCACCTCAAAATGTGTGATTTACTTTGGCTTTCTGGGACTAGAACCCAAAATTAGGTATATTCTTGCTTTGTTATTATGCTAAAGATAGACATTTGTTTTAGCCTGGTCTTACCACACCACGGTACTCATTTCATTTTGTACTAAGGTCTAGATTTGCACCATTGACTCGTCTGTAATGAGCCCGAGTGAGTGAGGTATTTAGCCGTTAGCCTAGATTTAGCATTTAGCCTAGCTTTAGCAATCTCCTTTACCACTAACGGAGCCCGTGGGGAGGAGAGCCACAACAACTTAGCAGAAATTACATTGCTCTGGTTTCAATTTCTTGATATTTGGAGTCATATTATTTTACTTTTACAGTCTCCGACAAACTACAACCAGCAAAACAACCTACAACACCCGCCTCCCCCGCTCTCTGATTGGTCGGAGGAGAGTCAACCGCGGAAACTGCAGCCACTAGGATCAGACTCAGAGGTACATGTAGGAGATGATCATGGACCAGAGTTTACACATGGTAAGACCAGAGTTTACACATGGTAAGACCAGACGTACATGTAGGAAATGAACATGGACCAGAGTTTACACATGGTAAGACCAGACGTACATGTAGGAAATGAACATGGACCAGAGTTTACACATGGTAAGACCAGACGTACATGTAGGAAATGATCATGGACCAGAGTTTACACATGGTAAGACCAGACGTACATGTAGGAAATGAACATGGACCAGAGTTTCCACATGGTAAGACCAGACGTACATGTAGGAGATGACCATGGACCAGAGTTTACACATGGTAAGACCAGACGTACATGTAGGAGATGACCATGGACCAGAGTTTCCACATGGTAAGACCAGACGTACATGTAGGAGATGACCATGGACCAGAGTTTCCACATGGTAAGACCAGACGTACATGTAGGAGATGACCATGGACCAGAGTTTCCACATGGTAAGACTAGATGTACATGTAGGAAATGAACATGGACCAGAGTTTCCACATGGTAAGACCAGACGTACATGTAGGAAATGAACATGGACCAGAGTTTCCACATGGTAAGACCAGACGTACATGTAGGAGATGACCATGGACCAGAGTTTACACATGGTAAGACCAGACGTACATGTAGGAAATGAACATGGACCAGAGTTTACACATGGTAAGACCAGAGTTTACACATGGTAAGACCAGAGTTTACACATGGTAAGACCAGACGTACATGTAGGAAATGACCATGGACCAGAGTTTACACATGGTAAGACCAGACGTACATGTAGGAAATGACCATGGACCAGAGTTTACACATGGTAAGACCCAGACGTACATGTAGGAAATGACCATGGACCAGAGTTTACACATGGTAAGACCCAGACGTACATGTAGGAGATGACCATGGACCAGAGTTTACACATGGTAAGACCCAGACGTACATCCAATCCAATCCAATCCAGTTTATTTATAAAGCACTAATAAAAACAACATGGTTGACCAAAGTGCTGTACATAAAAAGACATACACAAATATACATTTAA